CTAGACCACTAGAGTTCCTCCACACCACACTCATCAAACCATGACTTTATGGAGCTGCTTTGTGCACAGGGGCTCAGTCATGCTGGAACAGGAAAGGCTCTTCCCCAAACTGTTCACACAAAGCTGGAAGCATATAAGTGTGTAAAATGTCTTTGTGCAATGCTGCAGCATTAACATCACCCTTCACTGGATCTAAGGGGCCCCAACCCTGAAAAAGAGCCCCTGTTCATCATCCCTCCTCCAACAAACTCTACAATGGACCCTAGTAGTGTTCTCCTGGCATCCACCAAAGCCAGATTCGTCCATCAGACTGCTAGACAGTGAAGAGTGGTTCATTGAAAGATGTTTCCACTGCTCCAGAGTCCAGTGGCGGCGTTTTACACCACTCCAGCCGACGCTGGGCATTGCGCATAGTGATCTTAAGCTTGTGTGCAGCTGCTCAGCCATGGAAACCCATTTTATGAAGTTCATGAGACACAGTTCTTGCTTCCAAAGGCTGTTTGGAACTCTGTAGTGAGTGATGCAACAGAAGATTAGCATTTTTTACGAGCTGCACTTCAGCACTCAGTGTTTGTCTATGGAGATTGAATGGCCATGTTCTTGATTTTATAAACCTGTTAGCAATGCATGTGGCTGAAACCCCTGAACTCGATAATTAGGAGGAGTGTCCACATACTTTTGGCCATATAATTTAGGAACCTGGGTTTACAATGTCTACAGCACAAATATAGCAATGTGCAATTCCCCTTTAACATTGCTATATGTGGTTGTGATGCATCATTTAATGTGTGTTGTATATAAGGTTAGCTCTGGGTAAGTATTCCTATTTCTGATTCAATGTGGAACAGAACAGAACAGCTTACGGCAGAGGTCACTAATAGGCGGACCGCGGTCCGAGTCTGGACCCAGACGCTGTCCTATGCGGACCTAAACCTATAACCGCTAAACTATGGAGAATTATTTAATTTCCATGGGGTGGTCCTTTTTCAATCAGCGTAACTTTTTGCCCTTTACGGTAGCTTTAGCGGCCCGGGAGACTCACAGACCAATCGCATGCGTTGTAAATATCACACGAGGCGCTACTCAGCCAATCAGATCTGTGCATTACGATGAGCACTGAGACTCGAGTCAGTGATGCACAAACAGTGGAGGGACGAGGCGAGAAACAGCAGTCGGAGGAGAAAGTGAGTCAGAGGGAAGTTATTTCACATGTCGTGCTCTAAAAAGAGAAAACTGACAATAAATGTTGTTGAAATATGACTGAACTGTACTTTATTTGATTTGACATTCAGTTGTTGACTGTATAAGATGTTGATAAGGTATATTGTGCAGTCAACAACTGAATGTCAAATCAAATAAAGTACAATTCAGTCATATTTCAACATTTATTGTCAGTTTTCTCTTTTTTACTTCAGTAAACAGTATATGTCACTAAATCATAATGCAGGTTAGACATTATGATGTTCTGGACCTTTGCTTGAGGAAATTTTTTTATCTAACCGGACCTTACTGAATTTTAATTAAAGACCCCTGGCTTAGGGGGACAGAAAAAGTCAGAGAAATCAGACAATAATGTAGTACAGTATCATATCATGATGAAAAGTGTCAACCAGAGTTTTTATTCCTCATCAATTCAAGATGTGAGACACAACAGGAGACACATAATGATCGCAGGCCTGCATAATGAGTAAGTCAAATAATGATGATAGGGTGGAGCTGCTGTGTTTGTCCCTATGTGCAGGCCATTCACAGGGTTTTTTAGTCCACTAAGTAAACCAGAAACCCTCCCCCCCATCTTCTCAATAGTGAGCATGTCAACCTGGTCTTTACTCAGTGCTGTGTTTTTGTGTGGCAGTGCCCTAAGGGGCCATTCAAATTAAAGTGACATGTGCCCTGACACGCGTCCCCTCTGTTTCCGGTGCACTCCAGCAATCGATCTCAGAGCCTAACCAGGATAATGATCCCATCAGCTAACACAGACACAGCAGCTGCCACTGCCCTTCCACAGCTCACCTCACGCTCACGCTCGGCGAAATAACCTGCGCTGTGTCACACAGATGGTAACTACAGCTAATAATCTGGAGGGGATTCATACTGCAAGAAGACGGGCCTCAACCTGTGTTAGAATGAGACAGTTTTGACATGGACATGCCGTGCCAAAGCTATACTGTTTCCAGCTCCAGCCTTCACCAGCACAGAACTATGCTTTCCTGCATGTTCTCTAATGATCAAATCCTTCTTAAAACAGATAGTTCTGGTCCTAAAATCTGATTTGCTGAGCCACATTTGAAGCATCTGTAAAATACTCGATATATGCACACCTACGGCCTATTCTGTATTAATGCACCAGCTCACTAAAAGCCACTATGATCTGAATGGATGGCTGCTCGCATTGACCACCCAGTGTACTGAACAGGGGTCGGCAATATGGCGAAAAATATTACATCACGATATTTCAAGATATTTTCACGATACACGATATGCACCACAATATTTAGTTTTTCTGATATTTAACAAGTTGGAAATACAGAATAGAACCTGAAGTGCCACATATGAAATATACTACAATACTAATAATAAACCTACAACTACACAAATTTTAATTTAATGTTTGACCAACTTTATTGCAGTAACTCCAATTAAACAAGCCTAATTATGCTCAATTTGCAATGGAACATGCAGTTAGTCAGTCTGTCCATGATATGCTCAGAAGAGCAAAAGCAGCACATCTTAAACTACATTTCTTTGTGACTGAATTGTTTATTGTGATGACTATTAACTATAACTTGTGTATTTTATTGAAAAACTGACCTGAATCATATTTTTCACTTAATAATTCAGCCCTAATCTATACACTGCTTTGTACCAGAGCCATTGCCCCAAAGCAGCTTTCCAGAAAGCTTCACCTAATGAGTGTCACCAAGGGAACATGAGGAACAGCCACTGAGAGGAACCAAGACTCAAAAAGAGATACTACATAAGAGATCCAAGAAGAACCACTGGAAGAACCAAGACTCAAAAAGAGATACTACATAAGAGATCCAAGAAGAACCACTGGAAGAACCAAGACTCAAAAAGGGAAATTGATATTGGAAAAGGTCTGTAAAGATATAAAGAACTCACTAACTGTTCTGGACACATACAGGGTGGTGGATATAGAACAAGGTGGGGCTCAAACAGGATGGCAGATATAGAAAACAGTGGACTCAGGAAGTTAGATATAGAACACAGTGGCCTCAGGATGGTAGATATAGAACACAGTGGCCTCAGGATGGTAGATAAAGAACATGGTGGAACACATACAGGATGGTAGATATAGAACATGGTGGAACACATGCAGGATGGTACGTAAAGAACACGGTGGACAGATATAGGATGGTAGATATAGAACATAGTGGCCTCAGGATGGTAGATATAGAACATAGCGGCCTCAGGATGGTAGATATAGAACATGGCGGCCTCAGGATGGTAGATATAGAACATGGCGGCCTCAGGATGGTAGATATAGAACATGGTGGCCTCAGGATGGTAGATATAGAACATGGTGGCCTCAGGATGGTAGATATAGAACATGGTGGCCTCAGGATGGTAGATATAGAACACAGTGGACTCAGGATGGTAGACATAGAACACAGTGGACTCAGGATGGTAGATATAGAACATGGTGGACAGATACAGGATGGTAGATATAGAACATAGTGGCCTCAGGATGGTAGATATAGAACACAGTGGCCTCAGGATGGTAGATATAGAACACAGTGAACTCAGGAAGTTAGATATAGAACACAGTGGCCTCAGGATGGTAGATAAAGAACATGGTGGAACACATACAGGATGGTAGATATAGAACATGGTGGAACACATGCAGGATGGTACGTAAAGAACACGGTGGACAGATATAGGATGGCAGATATAGAACATAGTGGCCTCAGGATGGTAGATATAGAACACAGTGGCCTCAGGATGGTAGATATAGAACACAGTGGCCTCAGGATGGTAGATATAGAACACAGTGGCCTCAGGATGGTAGATATAGAACATAGTGGCCTCAGGATGGTAGATATAGAACATGGTGGCCTCAGGATGGTAGATATAGAACATAGTGGCCTCAGGATGGTAGATATAGAACATGGTGGCCTCAGGATGGTAGATATAGAACATGGTGGACAGATACAGGATGGTAGATATAGAACATAGTGACCTCAGGATGGTACATATAGAACATAGTGGCCTCAGGATGGTAGATATAGAACATAGTGGACTCAGGAAGGCAGATATAGAACACAGTGGACTCAGGATGGTAGATAAAGAACATGGTGGACAGATACAGGATGATAGATATAGAACATAGTGGACAGATACAGGATGGTAGATATAGAACATAGTGGACAGATACAGGATGGTACATATAGAACATAGTGACCTCAGGATGGCAGATACAGAACATGTTGGAACACATACAGAATGGTAGATATAGAACACAATGAAACTCAAACAGGATGGTACATTAACAGGGTGGACACAGGACTGGAGGTGGACAGTGCCATGTCTCTCACTCTCCTTGTCCTCCTGTCCTGCACATTTGAATGTTTTTCTCTACATTAACCTCACGAAGCGCTTGGCCTTCCTGAGAACCAATACTGGAAAACAAAGCTAGAGGTTATAAAAATCAGTGTAAACCAGACTGCGTGACCCTTCGCTCCTTCAGGAGAACCACACCTCGGTTCCTGCAGTCTTGCAGAAGGGGGCGTGGCAGGGGTGTGCCAGCAAACGCGAAAGCCCATTGGTGGACAGACAGCTCGACAAGCAGCGCCAAGGGCCAATCATTGGAGTGAGCAGGCGCGACGTCATAAGCGAGGGGCGTGGCTAGTGCGGTATATATACAGGAGGCAGTATGCCTGCTGTGAGGGGTACAACCTTTTCAGATTTGGTGAGTTTGGGGTGTTTTAGGAGGAAATAGCCGGTTCTGGACATTAAGCATGAGCGTGAACGCTGCTTACCCATCCTCCGTTGTCCCGGATCCATCCCTTCAGCACCGGCCCGTTTAGATACTCGGTCATCCAGCGAGCCACGTCGGCGGTGATGCTCTCGGCCGCTCGCCGCCGCTCCACGCACACGGCCGCGCCGAACTCCAAGAACGCCACGATCCGCCCCCAGTTCACCCCGTCCCGGAACAGCTCGTCGGCCACCGCCGCGAAGCTCCGGCTCGCGGCCGCGGGCTCCAGCTCCAGGCGCCCGGTCATCTCGGTCAGATCGGACCGATACAGGCGCTCCAGCTCGTCCCCCGCCTCCCTCAGCGCTCCGTGCACGGCCGCCGGAGCCTGGTGCACCCTTTTCTCCTCTTCCCCCTCTCCTTCTTCTTCATCCTCCTCTCCCTCTTCTCCTCCTTCCTCCTCCCACGCGTGGCCGCTCTTGGCCAGCTTGTGGTGCAGATACTTCTCCACTATCTGCCGGCTGTCGTACACCTTCTCCTTCTTGCTGGCCATGTCTGTCAGATCAGCTCCAAAAAAAACCCAATAATTAAAAAAATAACAATAATAATAAATGCACACCAGTTAATGCACGCGCACAATCACATCCCCATTGCTTTCACGCAATGCAACTCTTCTTCTGCTGGTTGCAAATCACGCAAGGTTGCAATTCATTTTTTTTTTTTTTGGCACGAGAAAACAAGAGGCACGCTTGGCAAGTTGGTGCACGCGCGCAGCCTTGCAGTAGTGGTGCACGAAGGGGGGGGAGGCGGGAATGCAGTGCAATGCAATGCAATGCAGGTCGGGGGGGGGGGGCAGAAAAATGAAGCAGCCCCCCAAGCGCAACTAGAAAATTCCTCGCAGCCGGACCCACCTCGGTGTCACCTGGAGACCAGCAGCCCAGCTTCGTGCAGCGATCTGCGGAGTTTTCCCACGATCCTGCACCGTGTGAACAGAGCGGAGTCCAGCCCAGGGAGAGAGGGAGGGAGGCAGGAAGAGGAGAGCAAGGCAAAGCCCTTTAAATGTGTATTCCAGCTTCTTCTTCTTCCTCAACAGACGAGCCCTCAGCCTCCGCTCCGGTCCTGTCCGAGGCTCAGATGTCCCCCACAAGTCTGCCCAAGTTGTCTGTGAGCGCAGCAGTGGCTGAAAAACCTACTGCGAGTCAAGTCCTGCAGGATCTGCCCCTCCTCCTCCTCCACCTCCTCCCTTTACACATCACTGAGGCATTTCCTCCGCGCTACGTCACCCATTCAAATCATTCAGTGTCTTTTTTTTTTTTTTTACCCATTCAAGTGATTCCTGGAGATACAATCTGCTTTATTTCCCCGCCCATATTCCCTCAAGTCCCGCCCTCCTGTCTTATGATTGGTTAGGTGTTCCTGCTCCTGCAGCAGGACTGGCTAATAGTGCCCCGCCTCCTGCGCTATGACTGGACTGTAGTTCATAATCACAGCTGCTTACAAACTACCAACCAATCACAGTGAAGATAAGTTAGGCCCAGCAGGAACACAGACCCTTAACCAATCACGGAGTGTTCTACATCACTGTGTGGGTGCTGACATGCCCATATAAGGAAATCACAGTCTAAGCCGGTTTCCTCTATGAGAAAAATGAACGGCACTGCGGTGAACAAAAATGCTTATATGTTTCGTCCGGTTTACGTTTTCCCCAAGTGTCACTAGGCGGCCACCAGGCGGCCTGAATGACGCTGAGCAGCGATGAGCACGCAGGGTAATACTGCTAACAAGCAATAGTGGCATTTTTCAAAAATGCTGACTAGACCCAGAATTCCTAATATGGGCATGACGCTGACCTCATAGGGCTTTACAATCACAGTGCAGCAGTATGAGCCAATAAGACACAGAAGGGAGTAACACTAAATGTGTTTACATGCACTCAATAATTTGATCATAAATCAGATTTCTGTAGTTATCTGATTATTCAAATGGTCGTGTAAACAGCACCCTCCGATTAGAGTAAGGTCTAGAAATCCGATGGATTTTAGCTCAGTAATCAGATTTCTCAGTGCATGTGAACTCTTACTCTGATTTCTTTCGGATATCTCAGTCTGCGCATGTGCGAAAACAGACGGCGATACCAGAAATAAGCGAACAAAGCTTATTTGAAGCTACATGCTTGACGAAATGAAGGACTTAAATATGCTTCATCTTCTAGATGATGTTCATGTTTTCAGTGTGATGTTTTTAAAAAAATGCAGCGTGAATTTGAGTTTTACGACACGTTTACGTCACGTCTTCTGCGAGTTTATTGGCCGGTTGCAAAGCAGAAATCGGACTCATGTAGACCCGGAGTTTCCCCATTATCTGATTACTCAAGAGCATGTAAACGTGTTGATCGGATTACTGATAAAATCTGATTTTCCGCAGTTATCGGATTATTAAGTGCATGTAAACGCACTCGTTTATAGCCTGAACACAGAAGGCTGGTCAGTGCCGGTTAGTTACTGGGGCAGAAGGGCAGGGCCTTGCTCAGTACGGGGGAGAAGGAATCAGCAGCAGTCAGTGGGGTTGCGTTCTGTTTCATGTTGCTGTGGCGTCTACACTGGCAGCAGGAGTTGGCTCTAAGAACCGGTTTGTCCTGATTACTTAACGTCTGTCAGCAGTGCTGTTTGAGTGCCTGATAACTAGCCAAGCCTGCTGAGTTTTAATTTTATTATTTTTTTTTTTCCCTTTTTTAATTTTCAATATTGGCTCCACGGACGTGGAAATAGCCGGGAGACGCAGGGACGGAAATGAGCGTGAAGTTGGAGCAGAACGGAATTGTGTTGAGCACTTGGCCGGGACATTAGCACGGCTCCTTTGAACAGTGCACGGCCTTTGATCTGTTTCAGCCCCTCGCGGTCGCCCCCCCTGCTCTGAATATTAGGTAAACCAGCTCAGGCCTCATGAATAATTGCAGTGCTCATGCTGAATTGGACTGCATCATGCATATGAGCAGCGCCTTTTGATGTGGGCCCTCTGGTGGCCAGCCGTGCTTAAGAAATCCGGCCTATCCACTGGCTTAAGTCTCCTTAAATTTCCTTGAGTGGTGGGCAGACTGAAGGCATTTGCGCCGTGTTGCGGTTGGAGGCCACTGGGGAAACTGCTTTGCTTGGTTGTCATCTGGCTCCACTTCAGCTCTCTTGGACCTACACACCAAGGCGGTGGGCGTCTGATCTCTCATCTTTCCTTACATGGATATGATGCTAAACTGATCATCTCATCACATTTAAAGCCCCAGAGAACCTAAATCTGTTTCCTTTCTAATGAGGTTAGTCTTGTTCTTGCAGGCAAACAGTAAACATACTAAGTTCACCCTTTGAATAATGTTCCAGTGACCATAAATGATGATATATTTCACCATATCTCTCTCCTCACGATGAGAAGTTGGCGGTGCTAATCTTCTGTAAGCATTCCCTAGACCAATCACAAGGCTGCGTCTCTTGCCCGGCCCACACAGAACAGCTTTAGAATCAGAGAAGCTTAGTCAGAGCTGGTTTATGAGGAGTCTGGCCACTTCCTATTTCGCTCGTTATATCAAAAACAGGACTGCGAAACAGCAGAGGGCGCCTGCGAGCGAGTCTTCAATGAATGGGAGTAAATATAGCTTAACGGCTAAAAACTAAAAGTTAAAATAGTTTCTAATCACTGAACCAGAACTTTCCTTTAGTTTTAGACAGTAGAAGGATGAGTTTCACTAAATAAACAAAGAAAACTCACCTGTATGTTTCCTGTTTACTACAGCAAACGGGTTTTGGGCAGCAGGACGCTAATATTACTGCTACTGAGTGCTGATTGGTTAGCATTACTGCTACTGAGTGCTGATTGGTTAGCATTACTGCTACTGAGTGCTGATTGGTTGGCATTACTGCTACTGAGCGCCGATTGGTTAGCATTACTGCTACTGAGTGCCGATTGGTTGGCATTACTGCTACTGAGTGCCGATTGGTTAGCATTACTGCTACTGAGTGCTGATTGGTTGGCATTACTGCTACTGAGCGCCGATTGGTTGGCATTACTGCTACTGAGCGCCGATTGGTTGGCATTACTGCTACTGAGTGCCGATTGGTTAGCATTACTGCTACTGAGTGCTGATTGGTTAGCATTACTGCCACTGAGTGCTGATTGGTTAGCATAACTGCTACTGAGTGCTGATTGGTTGGTGAGCAGAGCAGCTCATTGGCTGTTCGCGCTCACTGACGTCATGAACGTACATGAGGCGCCGTTTTAAACTCCTATAACTCGAGTTTAAAAGCTCTTAAAAATATAACAGCGGTGTTAAAATGTTTTATGCTGTTCTGTGTTCAGGAAATGATTGTATCCTTTTACATTAAAAATGTTTAAGCATTTAAAAACTAGGATCGCGCTGACCCATTCATTTTAGACTCGCTCAGGAGCGCCCTCTAGTGTTTGAGAAACCCGGAAGACGTTACAGAGTGGTAACTCTGGCTTAGTGGGCTAATGCTAACACAGCATAACCAAACGTAAGCAAGATAGACCACCTGTTGTCGCACATTCATTCGTTTATCCAGCACCAGCATTCTTCATTCGTCCATTCCTGCATTCACAAGTTGCGTTGTCCGTCCATCTGTTTTCCTCCAGTTATCATCACATAAAAGCTGGATAATGATGTTAGTTCTGTATAAGGGGTGGAGCTACGAGTGTTGGACAAAGAGCTGTCAATCAAGCTGCTCATTAGCCACGCCCACACAGCTCTCAGATCTGATCCGCTGTGTTTAAGCTGTTTTATCATATTTCTATCTTATATTTTGCATTCAGGCTTTGCTGGATGTTTAATATGACACTCAGGTTTAGTATCATACACATTTTTAATAATTTACTCTGTGTTCCCCGAGACTTTAAAGGAGCAGTTATGTAAAAAATCTAATTTACTCAATTTCCCTGCTACCCCAAGTCTACCAGATCAGCCAAGACATGTTTGGTGTTTGAAGTTTCCTTCTTTGGTTTTGTGCCGGAGCTACAGGGTTATGAGGCTAACAAGCAATGGAAGCTGAGAGGGGAAGTCAGAAGATTTAACAGAATTTCTGCATAATTAAATAATTAAGATGTAAACACATTAATTCAGGCTGCACAGCAGAGAACGATTCCCTCACAGTGGTGTTGATGGTGAAAAGGCCTTGCAGTGTCTACAACATACATGTGGATCTGCATTTGATTATAACAGCAAATTGCTGCTGCTGTCTTACACACAGCTTATATGAACGATAGTTTGGTTCAGCTGCAGTAACACTGACGTGGTGGTGGTGTGTTAGTGTGTGTTGCGCTGGTCTGAGCGGATCAGACACAGCAGTGCTGCTGGAGTTTTTAAGCGTCCTGTAGGCAGCGTCCTGTGACCACTGATGAAGGACTAGAGGATGACCAACACAAACTGTGCAGCAGCAGATGAGCTATCGTCTCTGACTTTACATCTACAAGGTAGACTGACAAGGTAGGAGTGTCTAATAGAGTGGACAGTGAGTGGACACAGTGTTTAAAGACTCCAGCAGCACTGCTGTGTCTGATCTACTCGTACCAGCGCAACACACACTAACACACCACCACCACGTCAGTGTTACCGCAGTGCTGAGAATGATCCACCACCCAAATAGTACCTGCTCTGTGAGGGTCCATGGGGGTCCTGACCACTGAAGAAAAGGGAAAGTATGTAGAGAAACAGATGGACTACAGTCTGTAACTGTAGAACTACAGAGTGAAACTATACGGTCAGTGGAGCTGATAAAGTGGACAGTGAGTGTGTATATATGTGCTTCATTTAAAATAATCTGACCTTCAACCTAAAAGCTTGTCTTTAACAGGTTTAGGCCTCAGTTAATGCTGAGATACAGCACCATCTAGTGGCAGATGTGTGTTTTTTAAATGACACAGCAATTAGGTTTAAACAGTAGCTTTCATGGTCACAGCAAGGGCGTTTAAGAACCCACGTGACTTATTTAGGTTTAAACTCGTGTTAAACTCTAAACCACAGCTAAGCTGATGACAGTGCAATGGCCCTAAATATGCCTAACAAATCATCATTTGGGATTCAGCCATGTGGTCATTTTAAGTGCTTTTGGTGTGTCAAGGCCTAAAAATTGGGCATTTAAAGCCGTTTGTTTGTAAAGGTCAGTCATATAAAGTGCTTTTGGTGTGCAAAGGCCTTAAGGTTGGACATTTTAAGTGCTTTTGGTGTGCAAAGGCCTTAAGGCTAGTCATTTTAAGTGCTTTTGGTGTGCAAAGGCCTTAAGATCAGTCATTTAAAGTGCTTTTGTTGTGCAAAGGCCTT